CACACACACACACACACACACATTCACCAACGAACCTAACAAGTTTTTGTTCTTGGTCAACGCTGGATTCACTGGTAAAATGTCCCAACAATCGATGCTCAGCTTAGGACGATAGAGTCCCCAGCTTAGTGTCCTCATTGTTCACATTTTATTTTTTTAACCAACACTTTCGAATGGTACAAATTGCTGTGATATATATGAATTAATTCTGGACGCCAAGAGCTGTTTTTGTCCAGCACCTCATTGAAAATCTAACCTTAGAAACTAATATATTTAGTGTTATTTTTCTTTCTTAATTATCTGCTTGCTTACTGAACGTGTTCTAAATACTTGGTGTTTAAGGAGTGAATACTCTCGAGAGAAGGGTTTAAGACCTGAATATATTTCACCACTCAGCGCTACAGTTTAAGTCAACCTAACCAAGCCCGACTCCTCCTAACTCGACCCGACTGGACCCGACCTAACCTACCCATCAAGCCAGTTCTGCACTCTCTAGAATGCACTCGATTCACTAGTCCACCCATGATCATACTCTGTTGTACTCTGCTGGGCGTGCGTGTGAATGTGAGTCTGTGTGTGTGTGTGTCAGTGAGAGAGAGAGAGAGAGAGAGAGAGAGAGAGAGAGAGAGAGAGAGAGAGAGAGAGAGAGAGACCTAGCAACAGAGAACCAATCAGACGTGCGTTAATATAGTGCGGCGTGGTGTGGGTCACTTAGTCCAAATACTCGCCCATTATATCCACACTCTCACCCTTAATGACTATAGGCTGCTATGCTACTCCGGCCTCTGGTGCCTCTGGTTGCTTAGGGAGTAGACGTAGCTCTTCTGAGAAGACGGTGAATTGTTGGGAAATTTAAAGGAAGAAGGGAAAACGGGAGGAAAATGGGAGAGACGGTAGAAAAGAGATTAGCGGATTTTGCTGTCTCTTATTTGTTATGCCGTTGGCTTAATGCTGGGTAGCCTGCGTGTACGATATTTTATCAAGTAGCACCTTGTCTTGGTCTTAGCTCAATTGAGTGGTAACAGTTTATGACAGTTATCACTAGGGAAGAAACGCCTCCTAAACACACACACACACACACACACACACACACACACACACACATACCATTAGATTAGGGGGGGCAAGTGCCACTTTTAATCAAAAGATAATTTTTTACCATATCAATATTGACAGCAATAATGCAGGCAGTCACAGTAATTATTTCAGTGTAAGGACAAAACGTGTTGTGACTTACAATACTACTGACAACCACAGAAGACCCAAACGAGGATAGAGACTACAGATTTTACAGAAAAACTCTTCGAAGATGTTGCTGAAACATCCATTAAATTGAGAGCGAAGCTGCTATTAATAGAAGACTTCAATCATGATGTAATTAATTATGAAACATTATATACGAAAGGGGTAAGACGAGACATGGTGAATGAAGCTGATAAAAGAAGCAGAGAAGAACTTCCTAACACAACATGTCCAAGAGGCTACATGGAGAGGAAGGAAGACCCAACTATTCCTACGCCCCGCAGGAATGGCTGCGATGTATTGGGAGACCAATACATTCATTCCTCAGTTCCAGAAACCAACAGTATAGTGTACATACATTCCTCGGCCCCGAGGAACCAATAGTATAGTGTACATACATTCCTCGGCCCCAGGAACCAACAGTATAGTGTACATACATTCCTCAGCTCCAGAAACCAACAGTATAGTGTACATACATTCCTCGGCCCCAGGAACCAACAGTATAGTGTACATACATTCCTCAGCTCCAGAAACCAACAGTATAGTGTACATACATTCCTCAGCTCCAGGAACCAACAGTATAGTGTACATACATTCCTCAGCTCCAGAAACCAACAGTATAGTGTACATACATTCCTCGGCCCCCAGGAACCAACAGTATAGTGTACATACATTCCTCGGCCCCCAGGAACCAACAGTATAGTGTACATACATTCCTCGGCCCCCAGGAACCAACAGTATAGTGTACATACATTCCTCGACCCCCAGGAACCAACAGTATAGTGTACATACATTCCTCGGCCCCCAGGAACCAACAGTATAGTGTACATACATTCCTCGGCCCCCAGGAACCAACAGTATAGTGAACATACATTCCTCGGCCCCAGGAACCAACAGTATAGTGTACATACATTCCTCGGCCCCCAGAAACCAACAGTATAGTGTACATACATTCCTCGGCCCCCAGGAACCAACAGTATAGTGTACATACATTCCTCGGCCCCCAGGAACCAACAGTATAGTGTACATACATTCCTCGGCCCCCAGGAACCAACAGTATAGTGTACATACATGCCTCGGCCCCCAGGAACCAACAGTATAGTGTACATACATTCCTCGGCCCCCAGGAACCAACAGTATAGTGTACATACATGCCTCGGCCCCCAGGAACCAACAGTATAGTGTACATACATGCCTCGGCCCCCAGGAACCAACAGTATAGTGTACATACATGCCAGGCTACCATAAGAGTACTTACATTCCTTGCTGTAGAGCAGTGAGAGCTCCTGCCACAAGCATCGCCACCACCAGCCACCTCACTGCTGCTGTAGGTGCCGTCATCCTGCTGGTGATGCTGTCTCTTTCTCACACCTCAAGCAGGAGACCTTCTCCTTAATTCAGCTGTTGGAGCCCAAGCCTCAGATGGCAGTCTTCCTGTACTACTAATAACTCTGCGTTTATAGTCCCTTATGACAATTGGCGAAGACGTTCCTACTAATACTTCTAATTATATGTGTACTTAAAGACCAGTTTTTAAGTCACAAACAATGCGTGATCGACAGCATCATATATTATCAGTGTAAAGTGAAACACATCTGTAAATTAGTTTCCTTTCAACCCGTCACCAGACAGATAAAGCCGCACATATTTCTACAGTGCAGATGACTGAGCGACACAGACTCGTTCTAAGGTTTTTAACATGTTAGTGGGGAGTGCGGGAGCCACGTGGTCGGGGAAGGCAGGAGCCACAGCGCCACATCTCACCTCGACAAAGCCCTTGACGCGACTGACGCGCGGGTCTAGCTACCAGCAGGGGTCAGGGCCACCCCCCTGCGTACTCCGTCAGCGCATGCGTACCAGCACCTCCTTGCCGCAACGGTGTAAAAACAAATTAACGAAACCCAACGGATGTTCACGAACTTCGGGTAAGTGTTATTTATGGCGGGAATGCTGCCGCGAAGCGTAATTTCTTGTGGCCAAACTTTGGGGGAGTTGTCTCATTAGCGCCGTCCCACAAAATTGTAAAACTTGGCTGTCTCTAAGAGCCTTGTCGCGCATTTTCGCAGTTCTTGGTCGGGTGAATAATGCGGAGGCCTACAGTGAACACATTACAGGATCTACAGTAAACACGATACACGGTCTACTGTGAATAAAGTACACGGTCTGTAGTGAACACAATACAGGTTCTTTAATAATCACAATAAACGGTCTACGGTGAACATAATACAGTATAGTCTACAGTGAACATAGTTTAAGGGTTCACAGTGGCACGGGTATGAATAGCCCGTAATACATATTCAGTAATTTCATTGTTCTAATCTGGTTTTCGAGCCATGGTTCAATTCTCTCATTGAAGAAGAGTTTCTGTTGTTTAAAATAGCTATCGTGTTCTTGCAGGTTTGTGGCATATATATATATATATATATATATATATATATATATATATATATATATATATATATATATATATATATATATATATATATATATATATATATATATATATATATATATATATATATATATATATATATATATATATATATTTATGTGTGTATATCACGAAAATAAACACGTGATTAAAAATGTGACAATGTCAGACCACGGAGGTCTGTTTCCTGTTTCATTTTTCCTCCGTGGTCTGACATTGTCATATATATATATATATATATATATATATATATATATATATATATATATATATATATATATATATAAATAATATGTATGACCTGGGCACCTCTAATCTCTCTGTTTCTGTGTTTTTCTTTCTGTCTCCGCGTCTGTCTCTCTATGTCTGTAAGGAGCCCATAATGTTTTTCGATATAGTAAGAGGGTACTATAAGAGGGTTTTTCGATATAGTGGGGCCTCGTAGCCTGGTGGATAGCGCGCAGGACTCGTAATTCTGTGGCGCGGGTTCGGTTCCCGCACGAGGCAGAAACAAATGGGCAAATTTTCTTTCACCCTGAATGCCCCTGTTACCTAGCAGTAAATAGGTACCTGGGTGTTAGTCAGCTGTCACGGGCTGCTTCCTGGGGGTGGAGGCCTGGTCGAGGACCGGGCCGCGGGGACACTAAAGCCCCGAAATCATCTCAAGATAACCTCAAGATAAGAAGAGCACAAAAATATATATATAAAAGAAATGAATATAAATTAAATCACATTCGAACCGGAATGCTTTACCGAGACTCGTCGTATGGCACCATGTCATGTGGCACTCTTTGTATTGATTCCAACCTTTATCACCCCATGTTGGGCACATACCCAGCAGCAATTGTTGTTAAAAATTGGGTGAGGCTAGCCCCAAGCGTCTAGCTCTCGAACTCGAACAAAAAACATAGACATTCTAATTTATTGATATAGATTGTTTGCTCAAATTATATTTCCACATCGATACAATTTTTATTTCCTGAAATATTGGTATTAATACTTTTGTTTCTGGGTGATTTATATGGACATTTGTTAGCCAAAAAATTTAATATTGCAGCAGGTGGAGTTAGCAGCTTGGGCCTCCATAACTCATGGCCTCGTGGGGCATTAATCCTCGTCAGCAGCAGCTGCGAAATATTAGTCTCAATAACGATGATGAGGTCCCTGCAGGGTGCCTTAGGGGGTAGGCGTCTGCCACTTTTTATTATTATTATTATTATCTTCTACCACAGACGTGGCCAGGCATTTACAATGCTAACCAGCATATATACATTTTCTTCTGTCCTCCGTGGACAGGGTGAGAGATGTGTTAAACATATAGTTCAGGGGTTTATTGAACAATCAACCGCAGAAGGTGATTCGGTACTTTTAAAATGTTAAGCTAACCGCGTCTGCCACTGTATTGTTCTAGCCCGCCAAACACACAGCGAAACTACCACGTTGCTACAACGTTCGGACAACATTTAACACCTAACAAGTTATAAGAATCAATATAACAAGTTGTAACAACGTTCTATTACGTCATAAACACGTTAAGCCAAGATGTAACAACTTTGTTACAAGTTGTAACAAGCGAAAAATAGGGTCAGTTACGGTTTGTGTTTCCAGGGCTCACCTTATTGTGCCTGCACCACCGACCCTCAGCTCTTGAACACCGCCTTTTCACCTTTAGTTCATCTGGTATCTTATCTTGAGGTTATCTTGAGATGATTTCGGGGCTTTTAGTGTCCCCGCGGCCCGGTCCTCGACCAGGCCTCCACCCCCAGGAAGCAGCCCGTGACAGCAGACTAACACCCAGGTACCTATTTTTACTGCTAGGTAACAGGGGCATAGGGTGAAAGAAACTTTGCCCATTGTTTCTCGCCGGCGCCCGGGATCGAACCCGGGACCACAGGATCACAAGTACAGCGTGCTGTCCGCTCGGCCGACTGGCTCCCATATATAGTGGTATAGTGGACCCGCATCACATCATTTTTATCTCATGTCGAATTTTAAACCTATGAATTGGGTTAGGTTCGTCTGCCAGATGCTTATCTTCCTCTAGGTCAATCTGTTTCTGTTTAGGCTACTTGTAAACTGTTTCCCCCTAGTCTTATGGTTCTACAGTAATCTCTAGTGTCTGGCAGTAGCATCGCCCTCAACGCTTATTCAGGCTATGTAACACATGCACACATACACACACTCACACTACACGTAATTGTAATACTTTTCGACTCAAATGTTACTATATTTACCTCAGTTCATGTGTGTAAATCACGAAAATTAACATGTGATGAAAAATGTGTCAGACCACGGAGGATGAAATGAAACAGGAATTTCGTTTAGTACTTTCGTATTTAATAATACATCTTCAGACCCTTTCGAAGATCCTTCTGAAGATGTATTATTATATATGAAAGTACTTTAAGGAAATTCATGTTTCATTTCTTTCTGCCTGGTCTGACACTCACCTCAATTCATAGAAATCACTTATTTTTATTAAGCCAATCATCTCACCCATAAGAATTAAGAAAATAACAGAATGTCTATACCTTATATTTATATCACAACCCGTTCGCCTAATACAACGACGCATTTTGACGTATAGTCCACCTAAGGCTAAGAACTGTCGTACTAGAAATTGGTAGCAGGTCGCGAAATTGACATACTGTCCCGTTTTCTGTTTTGGGTCCTCTGGCAGGTTAGGTTATAATAAGGGCACTTTAGTACGGCAGTTTCTTAACTATAATAATATGATAATAATAATAATTGTTATTTACAAGAAGGTAAAATGGGTTTGTTAAATGATATAAGATTGGTATTTTTACATTCTTGTAAAGCCACTAACTCGCATAGCGTTTCAGGTCCTTAATCCAACATTTCAGGTAAGATGAAAAGGTACTTTGAAATTGAAATAAGTTTATTGAGGTAAAATACACACAAAGGGATGAGGTAGCTCAAGCTATTCTCACACCGTTCAGTACATCGTGTTAATACATACATAGACACACATCACAAACAATAAACATATTACCAAACATTCTGAGAGATAAACATATACATTTTCTCCTTTACACAAGTATAAAAACAAAAGGTACATTGTTGCACAATTTTATGTTAACATATAACTTCAATACGTTGATTAACCTTAGGAGGACGGGTTGTATATCCACCCAAACTCGTTCATATATATAACCAGATTGATTGATAGATGAAGATTAAGCCACCCAAGAGGTGGCACGGGCATGAATAGCCCGTAAGTGGTGGCCCTTTTGAGCCATTACCAGTATCAAGAGCTGATACTGGAGATCTGTGGAGGTGCGACTGCACCCTGCGTGACAGGAGATGTCTCCCGGACCAAATGGTGACCAAATGGTTTATATATATAACCAACCGAAATTTTAATCAAATAATCATTTCATGATATCCGGTAATCTATTCCAATAATCTACAACCCTGATGCCAAAACCAATTATTTATCCTTATCTAAACTTATCCATTTTGCATTCATTATTTTTATTTTTGTTTTAATATTCTATCAATATCTCCAACCACTTGGATTGGACGGTAGAGCGCCGGTCTCGCTTCATGCAGGTCGGCGTTCAATCCCAGACTATCCATAAGCTATTGGGCACTATTCTCTCCCCCCCCCCCCGCCCCGACCCATCCCAAATCCTTATCCTGACCTTCCCCCCCCCCCATCCAAGTGCTATATAGCCGTAATGGCTTGGCGCTTTCCCCCTGCTATAGTTCCCTTCCCTTCTGCTGTTATAACCGTTCATCCTAACCTAACCTAACCTAACCTAACCTAACCTAACCTATCATAATGTCCAGTAGCCTCATGTGTGCGCCAAGATACACGCTAGGTACATCAGAGGCCCGAGACTGTTCAACACGCTTCCACTACACATAAGGGGCATAACTGGCCGACCCCTCACAGTGTTCAAGAGAGAACTGGATAAGCACCTCCAAAGGATACCTGATCAACCAGGCTGTGACTCATACGTCAGGCTGCGAGCAGCCGCGTCTAACAGCCTGGTTGACCAGTCCAGCAACCAGGAGGCCTGGTCGACGACCGGGCCGCGGGGACACTAAGCCCCGGAAGCACCTCAAGGTAACCTCAAGGTAGGTGGTGAACAAGGAGAGGGTTGAACCAGGCAGTTCATCACTTATACCACATTGAAATCTCCGAACTCACTTGAAATATATATTATTTAAACTCTGCAATTCTCGAGACATTCTTCAAAGGAGAGAGAGAGGCTTCTCTTTTGCTCGAGAGGCTCAGGAATCTGTACACCAGTAGATTGACGGTCGAGAGGCGGGACCAAAGAGCCAATGCTCAACTCCCGCAAGCACAACTAGTTGAGCACA